CCCCCCCCCCCCCTCCCCCGGGAGCTGGAAAGCTGGGGCCAAGGCCAGGAGCGCTCACAGCTGTCCCGGCCATACATCAGAACCACAAACAAACACTGTTGCCTGGAAACGCCACCTCCCCCAGCATCCTGGGGCTCAGTCACAGGACCGGAGCCACCAGGAGGCTTCTGGCCACTGCTCTCAGCCCAGCCCTTTCATTTCTCAGACGGTAAGACTGAGGCCCAGAGGGGGAAGGGTCTTGCTCGCATTCACTCAATGAAGTGGGGGCAGGGCTGGGCCAGGATCCCCGGTCTCTTGCCGCGCGATGTCACTCCAGCCAGAGCCCGGTCTCCCTCTGGGCGCCCTTCCTCTCTGACGCTGCTGCGGCACGGGCCTGGGCGCACGAGATTGCTCACGAATCCTGCCGACGCCAGTTCTGAATCACGGCTCTGATGGTCTTTTCACAAGCAGCAGGCCTCACAGGGTAAGAGGCACCATTCCCACCCTCAGACTCAGTTGTTTGCTTTGGGGGCTCATTTCCCGACGAAATGACCCAGCAGATAAAGAGGAGCATTTGGGGGATGATGTTCCAACAGCCCATTTATTACCGCTGAAAACTGGCAACGGAGTGCGTGCCCCAAACAGAGGAAGAACTTAGCAACCGTGAGAGCTGAGCGCCCTGGAATGTTCCTTTGCCCTTTACATGAAAACCAAGTGACGAGGGCCAGGATGAATCAAGAAAATGGGTAAACGGGGGAAAAAAACCTATCAATGATGAAGGCAGAATAGAGGGTGCACGAAGTTTAATCCTAGCAAAGCATCTACGTGAACAAACTGGAAGAGGTTGTGGGCAGAGGTGAGTGGTTGAGGTTCAGTGAAACGCAAGCTCGTACCACTCTTGCTGTGAGGACTTACTTACAGAGGGCAGAGGAGCCTAGAATATTCTCTAGCCGCAGAGACAGCAGCGGCCGGCCTGACCTTGGCCCAGAAGCCTGATACAAATGCGGCAGCGTGTTCTCTTGACTGCGTGCACGGCCCCATGTGTTTGTGTCTGTGTCTGCGTGTGCTTACGTCTGTGCGCCTGCCCGTGCGTGTTCACGTCTGTGCTTATCTGTGTGCACATGTGTGTATGTTCACATCTGCTCACATCTCTGTGCGCGTGCGTGTCTGTGTGTGTTAGGACCCAGCCGCGGGAGTCGGGAAGGTCAGGATCCCAGGATCCACACCCCATGTACTGTGTTTCCCCCTCTGTGCGCTGGGCACGGTGCATCTCACCCCAGCCACCTCCAGGAGGGCTGGGGAAACGGGGCCATCCCGCCCACACAGAAATGGGGGAGGCCTCCGAGACCCCCCCACATCGCGGTCCGCAACCTGACCGCCCACAGCGCTACCGGGGTTACAGCTCTGCTGGCGACCGAACCACAGCCAGCGCTGAGAGCCCCTGGCCAATGACACACGAGGTCAGGAGAGACCGGCCCCCGGCCACCGTGGAGCAGGTGCTGTCTCTTCGTCCCTGAGGACAGAGGAAGGAGCCAGGCAGTTCACCAGGCTCGGCCCACCCCGAGCGGGAAGAGGAGGGTCTGGGCCCCGGAGGCCCACAAACACCTGTGACGCACTGAAATAAGTTCGGAAGCTTCCAGAAGGGCAGTCTGGAAGGCAGCGGAGCCTTGGGACTTCCCCCCTACCCTGGAAGAAGGAAGAGGGGAAAGGGCAGGGGAGAGAGGGAGCGGGCAGACGGCAGCCCCTTCCACACCCAGCACTGCCACGCTCCACTCACTAGGTGCATATTTCCAGGGGTTTTTAAAGTCTCCATCTTCTGGCTGAATGGTCGTATGACTAAGGGCAGCTGTGCGTCTGCAAGAAAGGCTCAGTTCTGGGGGGAGGGGGGTGAGGCTGTGGGAGCCACAGGGAGGCCCACAGAGCCAGGGGGAGCCAGGGCCTGCGAATGCCATCAAAGTTGCTGAGGTCACTCCCTGTCACCAGCAAGGGCAACAACAGAAGCTTCCACTAACAGATGGAGGAACAGACAGAAGGTGGCCTTTCCACACAAGGGAGCATCATTCAGCTGCAAACAAGAATGAAGTCCAGGTCCAATGCTGCAACGTGTTGAATGCAAGGAACCAGACACCAAAAGCCACATGTTACACGATTCCATTTCTATGAAACGTCCGGAATAGATAAGCCCCCAAACAGAAAGCAGGAGGGGTTGCCATGGGCTGGGGGTGCCGAGGGGCAGGAATGGAGACGGCTACCAGTGAGTGTGTGGTTTGGGGGCAGGGTGCTGGGAATGTCCTAAAAGTGGCTGTGGTGTGGTCACACCCTCCTGAACACACCAAAACCCCGGAATTGTCCTGCACGTGAATTACATCTCAATAAAGCTTGTATATTTTTAAAAATAGGTGAGAGGGATACCTGGGTGGCTCAGTTGGTTAAGTGTCCGACTTCAGCTCAGGTCATGATCTCGCGGTTCGTGGGTTCAAGCCCCACGTTAGGCTCTATGCTGACAGCTCAGAGCCTGGAGCCTGTTTCAGATTCTGTGTCTCCCTCTCTCTCTGACCCTCCCCTGCTCGTGCTCTCTTTCTCTCAAAATAAATAAATACATATATATTTTTTAAAAAGCTAGAAATGAGGCCTTAATGAATAGCAGCAGCAATAAAACGGTATCAGAGGGAGCCGCTCTCCAGCACCTAATGATACCTAAGCATCGCGCATCCCTGCCGGATCGCAAACAGTGAGCGCTATTTAAACAACGTCCGCTTTACAGGTGGAGACGCAGAGGAGAGAAGGAGGCAGCCCAGCCGGTGCGTGACTAATGTGACAGCAGCTGTCGCAGCGGGGGTCCTCAGCCAGGTGGGATGAGCTCCGGTCTCAGCTCCTCACCCAGCCCCAGCCCCCAGCCCTCCCCCTCCCCCCCCCAGGCATCTTTTCATCCTCATTTAGATAAACTCCTGGAATCTCGTAAACCTCCGGGGACCGCTGCCAGCCAGCAAGGAGCGGGGAGCACAGGGGAGCAGGAAGGGAACAGGGCTCGGGATTGCACAAGCGGCTGCCACAATTTATGGCTCCCGGCTGACCTATTAACACATCGCAACGAGGAGGGGTGAACAGATGGGTACTTTGGCTCCTCGTTCCAGCCGTGAGCCATAAATAAACAAGCGCCCGGCTGGCCGCTGCCTCCCCAGAGACAGGGGGCTCCCCCGGCCCCCCACCCCCAATCCCACGACACGCAGCGGCAGGGACACCACGGCCAGGCATGGGCCCCCAGCCGCCTTCAGGGGTGCGGGCTGCAAGGTCTGGAAGGGCTCGCCGCACAGATGTCCTGAGATGCACAGACACACGTGTGGGTGTCAGCAGGGTGCAGGGGGTGCGGGCGGTGAGACCTTCTGGGTCTGGAACTTCTCAAAGACCTTGCCAGGACTGATGTCACTGACCAGCACCTCCCCCGCCCTGGGCTCAAAGGTCAAGAGCCCCGGGAGTCTCCAGGCCCTTCTTGTCTGGAAACACCATCTCCCCCGGGCCTGCCGGGGGGAGGGGGGGGGCGGGGAACGGCCTCCCTCTCTGCCCACTCTCTGCATCCCAATGGTGGGAGAGAAGCTGAGTCAGAGAGCCCAGCCGCCAGACACCTGGTCTGAGAGGCAGACGAGGACGCGGCACGTGACAGGTGGGACGCCATCCAGCAGGGGGTGGCTCTTTTCTAGCTGGGTGACCACGAGCGGTTCACCCCACCTCACTGAGCCTCAGTCGGCTCAGATAACAAGTGCAGATTAAAGGAAATTCCGCACGCAGCCCCCAGCGGCCGGTGCGTGAAGCGCTGGGCACATGACCTTCAGAGGGGTCTCACCCTGGGCATCTGTGCTCTCTCAGGGACCCCCTGACAGGCTTCAGGGAGGCCATGGACAAAAGCACTGCGTGTGAACTTGAATACGCACCCCGCCCCGGGGTGACACTGGCTGGGTCACCAGCCACCGTGAGGACAGTTCCCTCAAACCCCAAGGTCTGCCCATTTCCAGGTCCAAGGGCACTTGATCGGGTTACCTGTCGGTGGTGGGGGGCACAGGGCGGAGGTCCTTGGTCCAGGTGACCAGCGGGGCTGGGGAGCCCTGGGCCTCGCAGTCCAGGGTCACCTCATCACCAGCCTTGGCTGTGACTCTCAGAGGCTCGTCTGCATCACGTGACCCATTCACACGGATCCTGGGTTCAACTGTTGGCGGAAGCACACGGGAGACTGTGAGGCGAGCAGGAAGCTGCTGCACGGAGACCAAAGGGGACCAGGATGGCCGTCCCAGGAAGCGGAGGTGGCAGTGCCACCCTGGGAGGTGCAGACGGTGGGCGGGCTCTGCCCTAAGGAGAGAGTGCAGGGGTGGGGGCGGCCGGGGATCCCGCGGCTCCCCCAGTCCCGGCCTCCACCTCTCCACCAGCCTCCCTGTGAACGCTCGGCTTGCTTTGATGACCCGGACACGGTCACTCCTGCTTCAGCGTCTCCTACCTGCTAGCTTCTCCTCACCCTGCTGTCCCCTCCCCGTGGACATTCTGGCAGCTTCTGTCTCATCTTGTCTCCCTTCTCCCCCAGGCGTATTCTCGGGGTATCAACCACCAGCTGGTGCACAGTATCCCTCCGGCCTTCTCAAACTCCGAGCGGGGGTTTATAACAACTCGTGCACATCACCGCTTTCTTGTATCAAGCTCAAGGCTCCTAATGACAGAGATTACCCCGTCCCCACTACATTTACCCCTCCCTACACCCCCTACATTTCTAGCCAGCCGCTCGGACACTGACAGCACCAGTACATGTCTAAGCAATACTAACTAAGCTAGACGGGCGCCCGGGGGGCTCAGTCGGTTGGGCGTCTGACTTTGGCTCAGGTCATGATCTCACAGTTTGTGAGTTAGAGCCCCGAGTCGGGCTTTGTGCTGACAGCTCAGAGCCTGGAGCCTGCTTCCGATTCTGTGTCTCCCTCTCTCTCTGCCTCTTCCCTGCTCACGATCTATGTCTCAAAAATAAATAAACATTAAAAAAATTTTTTTTTAATAATTAAGCTAGCCAGCTGGAGACATCCAGACAGACCTATGCAGCCCTCACACGTTCCCTTATACATTTGTTTAGAGAGAAAATCTCCCCTTTACAAAAGAAATTTTTTTGCAGTATATAAGTACTGGTTGTAAGAGGATATATAGAAAAACTCGGCTGTGTATTTGCTCGTTCATGCCAGGCAGTTCCTGAGTGCCCAGCTCCGGGTGAATGCGGGGAAGCAGCAGGAAAGGAGACAGAGGCTGCCCTGTCCTCACAGCATTAGGGTCCGCAGGGAACACTGGTACCAAACAGCTCAGCACACAATTAATTATCTAATCATAGTTACAAAGGGGACATTCCAGAGAGTCTACGGCAAAGTGACTTGACCCAGTGCAAGGAGTCAGAGAGCAGATATCTGACCAATGGAAGAAGCCAGCGGGCCCGAGGGGGGAAGGGAATTCCAAAGAAGGAACTGTTCGTTCAAAGGCCCTGAGGCAGGAAGGACCATTTAAGAAACTGAATGGAGGCCAGAGGGCGGGGCACAGAGAGTCAGGGGGAGAGTGGTGGGCAAGGGGGCTGCCAAGGTGGGAGGGGTCCAGTGTAGGGCCAGTGTCTTTCCAAGGCTTGTGAATATGACGACTTCCCACCACCAGCTTACAAAGGGCTGAGTGGAGCTGCTCTTAGAGCATGCACACACCGCGGAGGGCAGTGCGCTGGGCGAGGACAGCTTTGGTCTACGTGCCCTGCGGATGGGAAGAATTGAGAGGCAGGACTGACGGGGGTGGGGGTGCAAGGAAGGTCCATGTAAGGTCAGCTTGCCCCTGCCTTCATGCCTGCTAAGCCCCTCTCCCAGGACAGGGGGTGGCCGTCACTCACTGTTGACAGAAAGCCGCATCTCCTGGCTGGAGAAGCCCACAGCGTTGGTGGCTGTGCAGACGTAAGCCCCCGCGTCCTGGGCAGACGGCTGGGCGATGACCAGGGTGCCGTCCTGGCTCACGTTGTAGTGGGGACCCATGGAGGTCAGGGCATTGGATTCCTGCAGTAGAGTTGGCAAAGCCCCATGGCGATTTGCATAAGTCCCCTCCCATGATGCACTGGGCCCACTGGTAACCCCTCTGGTTACCCTTAGGATAACAGGCTCCTCCTACCTTGGTCCAGGTGATGGTGGGGGTGGGGACTCCTGAGGCCACACAGGGGAGGGAGGCAGGAACCCCTTCATTGGTGACATGGTGGGTGGCCACGGGCTGGATTCTAGGGGGTACTTTCAAAAACAAACCAATATTTAGGGGTGCCTGGGTGGCTCAGTGGACTAAGCGTCGGACTTGGGCTCAGGTCATGATCTCACGGTTTGTCATGATCTCACAGTTCGTGGGTTCGAGCCCCGCGTCGGGCTCTGTGCTGACAGCTCAGAGCCTGGAGCTGCTTTGGATTCTGTGTCTCCCTCTCTCTCTGCCCCTCCCCTGCTCATGCTGTCTCTGTCTCTCTCTCAGAAATAAGTTTAAAAAAAATTTTTTTTTAAACCCCAACAATTTTTAAAGCAAAGGTTCAGAGTGGCATTATTCACAATAGCCAAAAGGTAGAAAAGATCCAGATCCAAATGTCTATTGACTGGATGATGGAGAAACAAAATGTGGGGTACACATATAAAGTATCTTTAGCTTTGGGGCGCCTGGGTGGCTTAGTCGGTTAAGTGTCCGACTTTCGCTTAGGTCATGATCTCGCGGTTCGTGGGTTCGAGCCCAGTGTCGGGCTCTGTGCTGACTGCCAGCTCAGAGCCTGGAGCCTGTTTCAGTCTGTGACTCCCTCTCTCTCTGACCCTCCCCTGCTCATGCTGTCTCTCTCTCTCTCGTAGAAATAAATAAAACATTTAAAAAAATAAATAAATAAAGTATCTTTAGCTTTAAAAAGGAGTAGGGGCGCCTGGGTGGCTGTTGTTGAACCGACTTCAGTTCAGGTCACGATCTCACAGTTGGTGGGTTTGCGCCCCACATTGGGCTTTGTGCTGGCAGCCCAGAGCCTGCTTTGGATTCTCTGTCTCTCTGTCTCTCTCTCTCTGCACCTCCCTCACTCAAGCTCTCTCAAAAACGAACATTTTAAAAAATATTTAAAAAGGAGTAAAAGTCTGAGGCTTCTGGGCAGCTCAGTCGGTTGAGTGTCCGGCTCTCAATTTGGGCTCAGGTCATGACCCCAGGGTCATGGGATCGAGCCCCGTGTCAGGCTCCGAGCTGACTGCGGAGCCTGCTGGGATATTCTCTCTCACCCTCCAGCCCCGCTCACTCGCTGTCTCCAAAATAAAAAATACACAATCTCAAAAAAAAAACCTAAAAATGAATAAAAAGGAGTCAGCGTCTGATACATACTATTAACACAGAAGAACCCTGAAAACATTACGGTAAATGAAATTAGCCAGACACCAGAGACAAATCCTATATGATGCCACTTACAGGGGTCTGGAGACATGGCAAATTCAGAGACAGAAGGTAGAGTGGTGGCTGCCAGGGGCTGGGCGACAGGGAAATGGGGAGCTAGTTAGTGTTCAACGGGGCAGAACCTCACGTTAGGACGATGGAAAAGCTCTGGAGGCAGACGGTTGTGATGGCCACGTTGTAACTGGAGGCTTTAAGGCTGTAAGGTTTATGTATATTCTATCAGAATTTTAAAAAATTACTTCAACAAAAGCACACAAGGGGCACAGTATCTACAGCCACCACTTTAAGGAATTCATGCCCCGGACAGAGGGCAGCCTGTGCCTGGGAACCAGTTGTGCCACTTCTTTGCTCTGGGACTTTGGATCCACCACTTAATCTTCTGGTCCCCACATTCCCTCATCAGCAAAAAAGCTCATTAACTCCAATTCCCTGCCTGCTCTCCAGAGATGGACAGATGAGAAATGGCAGAAAATAGTATTCACAGAACACAGTGAACTGTAAAACAAGTGCCAAATCCATTCTGGGCACCATCCAGATGTGCAGGGTGGGAGGTGCGGGGAGAGAAACCGGGTGTGGACAGGCCGGGAGGGGAAGCCAGAAGCCAAGGGCTCTCTCTGCCAGGAACATGGAGACCCACCCGTTAGGGAGGAAAATGCCCTTCTAGACCCTCCCAGGCGGCCAAAGCCTGCAAGTCCATGACTACTGTTGAATGGAAGTGAAGTGGCCCAAGAGGCCAAGCTTGGTGGCGCCCAGAGCCAGCCCCAGGGGGAGGCTGTGCTCGCAGAGGAAGGCAGCCTCGGCTGATCCTGAGATCCTCCGGAGTTACTCGCCTTTCTGAGCCTCACTTCACAACGGGGAGCCTTTTAAACCCACCTCCTGAGTAGTTATGAAAATTAAGGGAAACCCACACAGAGCCTCGCTCAGGTCTGGCACATGACGCACGCCCAGGCTTTGATCACTACTATCCGTTGGAGTTATGAGGAGGCAAGATACCTTCAAGACCCAGCCTCCTTTGGAACTTTGGTTTCCCTCTAGAAAATGGGGAACAATGCGTTCTTCCTGCTCATCCTCGGGGGAGAAGTTGTAAAACAAATGTTAAAAAAAAAGATTATTAACATACTTGGTAAATGACAAGATATAACCAAACTTAGTTTAAACCTCTCATCTTCTATGATAAAGAATGGTCGTGGGACACCCGGGGTGGGGGGGTGCTCAGCCGGCGGAGTCTGGCTTCGGCTCCTGTCATGATCTCATGCTTCAAAAATTCGGGCGGGACCCCCCCCCTGCCCCCCCGTCAGGCTCTCCACTGTCAGCACTCACTCAGATCCTCTGTCTCCCCCTCTCTCTCCGCCCCTCCCCTGGGCGCTCTCTCTCTCTCTCTCAAAAATAAGCAAACATGAAACAAACAAACAAACAAGAACAGTGGTACCTGGATGGGTGGGTGAAGGGAACAGGACTCTCCAGCACTGTGGGTGGGAAGGTGATTGGGTAAAATACAGTAACAGCCCTAAAAATGTGCAATCAGTCAAAACTCAATTCTACAAGAATGGGTTTGTCCTAAGGAAGGAATCGGGCATGTGGGCAAAGGTGGAAAACAGCCGTTAGCCCAGGGTGTTCACAGTGGGGAGAAGCCGGACATGACGGGGCAGGTGAGATGCTCATGGTTCTCCAAAGAACACATCGTCTTAAACTGAACCTTCCGACTAGTTATTCACAGAATACAATGCAGTCTATTGTCAAAACAAACACGCAGGAACACAATGTAAATATTTCTGCGTATATGCATATGAAGACTCTATAGATAGATGGATAGAACTGTAGCTATGTAAAGAATTTATATACAATGTATATAAAGGATGCATATATTACGTAAAACATATTTACATATAATGTATATAAAGCTATATATAATTTATGTCACATAGCACTCATTACATAGATGGTGTGTATATATGTGTAAGCTCACACGTGTGTAAAGCATGAAAGATACACACCCAAATGTAGCAGTATTCTGGTTCTTCTTAGCTTTTGGTGTTATGGGAGTGTTGCCTTTTACTTGTCCAACCTCTACATTACCTCCAGGGAAAATGCACTATTTGTGCAATTTTTTTAAAGTTTATTCATTTATTTAATTAAAAAAAATCTTTATTTAATTTTAAGAGACAGAGAGAAACAAAGCACAAGCAGGGGAGGGGCAGAGAGAGAGGGAGACACAGAATCGGAAGCAGGCTCCAGGCTCCGAGCTGTCAGCAGAGAGCCCGACGCGGGGCTCGAACCCGCGAACCGTGAGATCATGACCTGAGTCGAAGTCGGATGCTCAGCCGACTGAGCCCCCCCCCACCCGCCAGCGCACCTTGTGCAATTGTTCTTAACACAGGTGTTGAAGATCAAGTTCTCCTCGTGCGTCTCCCCGTCCCATCACCCTCCCACCCCTACCCCCCACTCCAGGACTCACCCTGGACAATGAGCTCCACGTCCCTGTGCTGAGAGCCAGCCGTGTTGCTGACCACGCAGCCGTACCTCCCCGCATCCTCCTGCAGTGCCTGGTCCAGGTGGAGGCTGCCATCTGCCCGGACCGAATGCCGGCTGCCAGGTGGGAGCTGGTGAGGGTGAGAAGGCCCCGGCTTGAACCACAGCCCCACACGGAGCCCGCTGAGAAAGAACACTCTGGAAACCACACTGCCCACCAGGCCAGGGGGAAGCAAGCTGGACCGAGAGGCCAGGGGTTTGGAGAACTCCCTCCCCTTCCCTGAGTCTCCTCCGCCTCCGCAGACCCTCAGGGCTAGGTGACCTTGACCCTGGCACACCTCCAACCCCACTCTCCCACTGCCGGCCAGACCAGTGGGCCGATAGGAGCCTCTCCCAAGAGTACAGGGTTGGGGCGAGAGCCTGTGCTGAGCAGGGGCTGGGGCTCCAAGGCCCTTCCACACTGAGGCTACACGGAGGAGGGACAAATTTCTGCCGGGAAAGAACAGAGCCACAGGAGCAGAGCAGAGGTGTGGCCTCATCGGATGCGGTCCCAGAGAAAGAAGCAGAGACAGTGGCTTCTGGTGACTGCCCAGATCTGTCCCCATGGGGACCAGGGAGCACTGGTCCAGAATGGCGCCCGGGGTAACCTTCGTAAAGATGTCTAGCCTGTCCATCTTTGGTGAGGGGTCCTTTTAAAATCTTTCCACCAGGCCCGAGCCCTCTTCTGGGGTCCTTGTCCCTGTCCGGTGAGCCCGGCCACACACAGGGCACTCGGCTATAGGTGGTGCCCCTGCACTTAGTACCGGGCCCCCTTGGGCTGAGCAAGCTGGAGGGGGTCCCTGCTTGCGGCGCTGGGCAGCCCTACACGCACGCGTCCACCCGGTGTGACCCCTGAGCTGAAACTGACCCCGCTTCTCCACCGGCCCCCTGGCCTGGCATCAACGAAGCACGGGGCCCTGTTTCCGCACCTGCCCATCAGATCCTACTCGGGAAGGCTCCTAACAGCCACAGCCCCCCCCCCCCCCCCAGGGCAGGGTCCTCCTCGGGGTCACGTCTAATCCCACAGGTTGCAGACTGAGTCGTCAGCACAAGCAGCCTCTGCAAAGCCTGCACGCTGTCGGGGCAGGGCCCCGTCTGCCCCGCACCAGGGTCCGAGGCCAGGACAGCAGGAGCAGAAAGCCAGCCACACAGCCGCTACCTCCCGGCGTCTGTCCTGCTGCAGCGAGGGCACTTCTGAATGGCCTCAAGGGCACAAGGACCCCAGGATGTCTGAGGCTCAGGCCCAGGAACTGAGGAAAGGGGAGGGGCAGAGAAGTGGCCACGAGAGGAGAAATAGACAAAAAATAGAGGAAACCAAATGAACAGGAGCGGATGTGCCCAGCTACGTAGTCAGGGCACATATTAAACTACAGGCCCCACCTCTGCCCTGCAACCGTCAGAATCGGGGGGAAGAAACCACCCTGTGTGCCCCCAAATTTCCTGCTCCCCAGCCTCAGCACTAAGGGAGCACACGATCTTCCTACTGCTCCCCAGGGACTCCAGGGGACCCCCCTAAATTCCTGCTCCCCAGCCTCGCCTCTAAGGGAGCACGACGTCTTCCTGCGGCTCTCCGGGGAGTACCGGCAGCCACAGAAACCTTGGCAGGGTCTGGGCAGGTGACGGACGCTACCAGCACACGTACCAGAGAAGCTTCTGGAAAGAGGCAGGAAAGAGAGGGAGGAAGAGCACGTTCCAGACGGAGAAAAGAGCAAAGCAGAGGCCGAGGGATGAACCCGACAGCCCCCTCGGCCCCCAGCCGGCACTCACAGGCAGGCCGGCCTTGAGCCAGCGCCGCTCCGGGAGGGGCCTCCCCGCCAAGATGACGCAGGGCAGGGACACCGGCTGCCTCTCCAGCACCCGGACAGTGGAGGCACTGCTGGCGATCTGCGGTGGGGCTGTGGGGAGAGGAGCCAGTGTGGGTCACACTAGATCCCCACGGGTGGTCATCGGGGGGACAGAGACCCCCCCCGACTCCCCCCCACCCCGGGGAAATGGAGGAAGCATCAGGATAGGGGATCCTCAAGGGTCGAAGGGCACCCTTCCTGGGGCACGTTGGCCAGGAAGCAGGGATCCAGATGTTCCTGCTGGGGGGCCTGGCCTGGACACATCTGTCCCAAAGGACAGGCGGCCACAGCGAGGGGGCCTCCCCACCAAACCCCCCTCCCCAGATCCACCAGCGAACCGTGTCCAGTCACGACAAGCCGGGCCTCCGCCCGGACCTTCCCGAACACGTTTTGAGCTTCACAGACATACAGGGCCTGGTCTTCAGGGACCACACCTGCAAGGCAGAAAGAGGCAGGCCTGACTGGGGCGCCACCGCTCCAGCCCCCCACCCCCGCCCCGGGGACAGGCAGCCCTCAGCACAGCCCAGCCCTGCAGGGGTGAGGTAGGAGGGTGGAGGGAGGCAGCCAGGCCTTGGAAGGGTGGGAAGTCTCCCGCCCCCCAAGCTTATCTATAGAATGGGGAAAATTTACGAATCCCGACTTCATAAAGCCGGGGGGTTTGGGGGGTGGGGTCGGTGAGGTCACGCCAGTGCCTAGGATCCCACCCACATGACAAGCCCTCAGGCTTTTGTCATTGTCATGACTGTGGCGGGTTCAGGGCAGGAAGATGACTTGACCAGAGTCAGCCGGCCAAACTCCGAGCCCGCGTTGGCCTCACCCACGGTCAAGGCCAGGCATCCCCGTTCTGCCCCGAGCCTTCGGGCCTGGGGAGGCACTCAGTGCCCCCAGTCCCTTACTTTCAAAGAACAGCACTCCTGAATCAGGCTGCCGGCTCCTGCTGCCCAGCCTGGGCCCCAGCGGTTGGTCATCTCCACGGTGCCAAGTGACCAGCGGGGGCGGGCGGCCCACGGCCCGGCACGTCAGGAGGGCACTCCTCCCCAGCTCCACGGTGACATCCCGCGGCAGCTCCATCAGCCGGGGCGCATCTGCAGGGAGGCGATGGGTCGGCCGTGCCCGGTGGCTGAACCCAGCGTGCCCCCAGAGGACGGATCCCGCCGCCCGCCCCCCCTCCCACTGCTGGAAGGTTCCCTTTCTCTGGACCTCGCCCTCATCGACCTGGGGCTGACTCATCTCCAGGGCTCCGGGGCCAACCTGAGCTTGGAAGGATCCGGCCCTGAAGAGCTCTTAGGGATGAGGCAGAGGAGAGGCCTTTGGCGCGACGAAGCTACGGAGGCACTTCATACCCCTGCGCGGGGTCACGGGAGCCCCACTATGGCTGGCCGTTCAGGGCCGGGGGGGGGTCAGGGAAGGGGGCAACTGGTCTGCTCCTGACGGCAACGTGTCCTGGTAAGCCCACCTCTGAGAGGCTGAAAATCCAACTCCAGCCACAGGCGCCCCGCTGCCTGGGCGGCTCTCCCCTCCCTCACCCTCCTCCTGGACCACAGGGAACTCCCTCTTGCACCTGTCCTGAACTTGGGCAATCATTCCCCGACCCCCGAAGGGCCAACACTGTGGGGAGATTATAGGCCACCTTCGCTCTCTTCTCTACATCTCTATTTGCCAAAATTTTGGTCACGAGTCTATAAAACTCTATCCCAAAATGAAAACATGCGTATTATAAACAAGGTGACCTTACACTTTACGATCTCAACGGGCCACCGGAGCATGAAAAGGGCCATACTAATCATGCCCCGAGGCCCAGTCCTCAGCGAGGTCTCACCTGAGTCCTACAAAACTCCAGCAATACGCAAGAATCTATTTCCCCCCAATTTTTCCTCCACACACCCCAAAGCTCACGCCCTGCCCCAGGGCCGCCGCCACCGCTAATAGCTTGTAGTGTTTCTTCTACACTTTTTTTGAAGTGTTGTCTGACGTTTATGATCAGGAGAAAATAAGTTGTTTCCCAAAACAGACTCTCGCAATCCTTTCTGCCCTCCTGCAGGCCAGGAGCAAGTCCAGCTCCACACGGGTCCAGGCCTTGCGCCCCGCAGCTCATGGACATCGGTCTCAGGTCCCCGTCCCCAGATCCATGACCAGGAAGGTCCCCCAGCCTTTTTTTTTTCACCCCGGTCTGTAGCATCCGGCGCCACGGAAAAGCCTCCACCTCATTGTTCTGTTCGCCTCCCTCCAGAAATCTCCCCCATTTCCATCCAAATCATGACATCAAATTTCCCTCCTGGCCTAGGGATTAGGGAAGTTCCAAGGAGAAACACAACTTGGAAAATTATCGCAAAGAGGACCCGACGGTCCTGGACGTGACCTCAGACACCGCCCGCACGCCTCTCTTTCTCACTGGGGCTTGGCCACTGCTGAAGGCCAGGATCCCAGAAAGCCTCAGACAGGGCCGTTGGTCCAGCAGAGCCCTGGCACTCCCAGAACCTGCCTTCGCCGGCTCCGCCCAGCCAGACACCCCCTCCTTAGTCCCCAAACAGCCCATCTTGGTCTCCCGACTCTGGGACCTTACAAAGCACCCTCTTCCCCATCCTCCTCCCAGACCTGAATGTGCCCCTGGAACAGGACCACCGACTTACAATAGTTAGCAAAGAACATAGACAAGAAGGTAGCATCTAGAATGCCTACGAAGTGACAGGCATGGTGACGGTGCTTTTAGAAGCATAATTTCATCAATACCCCCAATAAGCTCATGGGTGTCATCACAAACCTATTTTACAGATGAGGAAACTGAGGGTCCGAGAGATTAAGGAAGCTGGCAAAGGGCACAGCTCAAAGCCAATGGAAGAGGTGGGGTCAGAGCTTAGGTCTGGCTGCTGCTGAGGCCCAGTCTCTCCCCCACCGCACCCCTGTGTCCCCCTGGGGCCTCGGGAGCAGCTAGGCTGCTGGCTTCAGCCAGAGCCGCACCCGCCTCTTCCATCCTTTCGTTGGGGCGAATCCCAAAGCAGCCAAATCCCGACTCGGATCCTGCCCAGAAAAACTCTGACTCAGCCTCAGGGCACAGCCACACGCCCCTCACCCCGTTCCTCACTGGAGCCCCCAAATAAGGCAGGACCCCAGAATCCTCATATGCCAGGGCTGAAGTTCCTCTGATCACCTCCGTTACAGATGGGAAACTGAGGCCCGGAGCAGGGGCAGGGCTGGCTCCGAGTCCTGCAGCATGTCGGTTGGGCCAGTGCTCTTCCCAGGGCCTCATCAGAGAGGCTCAGCCACCTCTGCCTTCCAGGCCCCTCCTCACAGACTCTCAGGTGACCCCTGCAGTAACCCAGGGAGGGACAGTAACTGGCTCCCCCTCCTGCCTCGGCCTCGGTCAGGTTTTGTCCCAGAGACCATCAGACATCGCGGCTCCACCAGGGCTCGCTGGAGAGGCAGCGTGTGTTTGTGGGGGCGCAGTGTTGGGGGGGGGGGACTTGGAAGACCCAGCAAGAGAGGACAGCCCCACTGAAGGGTGCCGGCCAGCAGCCTGGGGCGGGGGGGCAGGACAGGGGCGTCCAGCCACCCCGAGGGCCGCCTCCCCCTTCTCCCTGCTTCCCCTCCTCTGCAGAGGAGTTAAGGGGTTTGGTTAACTGGGCCCAGCAGGTAGGGCCACTCCCCACCTCCAGGAATATTTGGAGGGAGCGGGGAGGTCCCCATGGATTCTAACAGCAAAGTGACCATGACAGAGGTGATGACTCTCCTTCCTCCTACTCGGCCACCAGGCCACCGGCCTAAAGGCCAAAAGCCTGGGCTGGGCCCTTGCACCGCCTCTGCATCGTGGATGAGCCCCGTCACCACTCGGGGCCTCAGTTTCCCCATCCAGAAGGAGGTAACTATTTTTACTCTGCTTCCAATACCTTAAAGTTCCCGGGTTCTTCATCTTCGTGTGGAGACCCTGCATTCCACCCCCGCCCCTCCTCTCCTCTGCCTCCCCCCCAACACACACACACACAGTTTCCGCGGCTCAGGGCCCTGCGGCAGGGCTGGTGGGGATGAGACAACTCAGGAAGGAGAGCTCCAGTCTGTCTTGACCTTGGCCATGAGTAGGGAGAAGGTCAGGGATCCAAAGACTACACAACAGGGCAAGGTGGGCGACGGGAGCGGCCGGCCTCGGGTCCTGCCCTGCGTGCAGAGGGAGAGCCAGGGGGTCTCTGGCGGCGTGGGCTCCGCAGCCCCCTTCCTGGGAAGGCCCCTCTGCGCCTGGGCGGGGAGCCGCGCTCCCACCAGCCAGGGCTGCGGGAGGCCTCTCACGGGCCCCTTCCCTCCATAAAAAAATATTAACAGTTACATTTTCTGACCACATCCACATAAAGGCACACATGGCCCAGTCTGGATTCCTCTATATCTCTGTAGCTACCCATTTGGCTCCCTCTCATTTTAAAAGAAACTAAGATGGGGCGCCTGGGTGGCTCAGTCGGTTTAGCGGCCGACTTCGGCTCAGGTCATGATCTCGTGGTTCGTGGGTTCGAGCCCCACGTCGGGCTCTGTGCTGACAGCTTGGAGCCTGGAGCCTGCTTCAGATTCTGTGTCTCCCTCTCCCTCTCACTCTCAGAAATAAATAAAAGAAACTAAGATCAGCACAATATCCTGGGCCGCGGGGTCCATGCCTGCTGTACCTGATGGGAAAGCCGCCTGTCCCAGAGCCCAGCACTGGTTCCCTCCCGCTCTCCCAGGCTGGCCACAGGCTCTTTGCACCCACCCCCTACCCAAAGCATCTGCTCTTCTCCCCTGTTCATCTGCCCGATGACCAGGGGCTTCGGGCTGGGAACAGAAAGAGGAGTGAGCATCCTCTTATCCTAAATGAGAATCCAGCAGGCGCGGATAAGAGCTCAGAGCAGCTGTTCTCAGGAAGCAGGAAAGGCACTGAATTTGGGGCAGGTCTGGCCTGCCGTGGAACCCAGGCACCAGCCACGGGACGCACCACGCCGCCTCACTGGGCCCCCGTCGGCAGGCGTGTTGAGTATTTACGCCATCCGAGCCCCGAGCATAGCGCGTTGTCTCATTAGATCTCTCAAGAGCCCTATGAGCAAGGCTCTGTGATTATCACCCCAATTCACAGATGGGGAAAGAAAGGTTCAGGGAGGTCAATGACCTGACCAAACAGGCAGCATGGACCTTAGACGTGGATGCAGGACTCTAGTCTCCCGCGTCCAAGGGTGACGCACAGGTGCCTTGCAGGCGGGTGCCCCAGCGCCGGCACTCGCCTCCCTCCCTCCCAAACGCCACCAGGAAGTCAGTTCCCAGCTTAGCAGCAGGAGGTGGGCACAGCGCCCAGCCGTTCCCGGCCCTGGAAGGTTCTGCCGGCCTGGCTTGGAAGCCTGGACCACAGCTGCCATCCAGATGGGCAGGAAATACGATTTCCCACCGCTGCTGCCAGCCCTCCCCAGGCACACAGGTGCTGGGCCCCTGGCCACCCCCTCCCTGACCTAAAGGCCACAGGCCACCAGTGGCTGAGAAGCCTGCCTCTGGGCTGCCCGCCATCTCCTCCTCGGACACGGCCCTAAGGCCTACGTCTGACAGGTGAGGAACAGGACCGGAGAAATAAGGCAGCACTGGAAAGAAACCAGACAGGAAGCAAAGGATGACTGCCTGTAACGATGCCAAGGGCAGCCCTGCTTGGGGCGCCTCCTCTGCTCCCCCAGAACCTACCGGCTGTTTAACAATGACAGCAGCACTGACCAGAACCCAGCAGGCCCCCGGCCTTTCTTATCTCTCACTCATCCAGTGTCTCGGAGAAATTCTGCCGATGAGAACTCAAGGCTCAGAGTGGGACGGCAAGGTCCCAGCTCAGCCGGCTGGTGAGCGTCAGGAGGGAGTCCACTGGACCCCGAGTTCGGGCCTCAGCTCTGCCACTCGCCAGCTGTGTGACCTTGGGCAAGGCACTTAACCTCTCTGTGCCTTGTTTTCCCCCTCTGTAGAGGATATAATGATAGAACCCCCCTGAAAGAGTTGTGAGGATTACATGTCTGTACACACAACACGCGCGCAGCCGGTCCTGGTCCGTGGCAAACTTCGCAGAAGTCCCAGCTCATGTTTTGATCATTATCAGACGCTAAGCCGACAGCTTTCCACACCCCGCACCCCACCCACAATGGAGCCACACAGTGCACTCCCTACAGGGAAAGTCTAAGCACATCCCCCTCCTCCCGAAAAACTCTCACCACCCCTGCAGGGCAAAGCCAGGCTCCTGGGGCTGGCGGTGGCCCACAGCAGGTAGCAACCTCCGGGGCACCCCTCACCCCCTGCTCTGTCTCGCTCCCTGGCTGGCTACTCTCGCCATGGGGAGATCTGCACATGCTGTTCCCTTTACCTGGAACACTCTTCCCCAGCTCGCCAGCTGACTGACTGCTTCTGGGTTTGCATCCGACATCACCTCCTCCAGGAAGCCTTCCCAGCCCCCAGGGTTGGTTGGGCCCCTTCTCTGGGCACCAACAGCTCCCCATGGATACTACGTGCAAATGCTTGGTATACTGAGTGTTTCTACTCGTCTGTGTGACATCTCTGACCTTGATGCCAAGAGCAGTAGGAAGGCAGATGCCGAGTCGCGCCCACCACTCTGTCCCCAGCACAGGGCCTGGCCGCCTGGAGACCGTGTGCTGCAGGAATGAATGATGGAACAAAAAAATGAAGGCCCAGGGTGCCCCGAGCCTGGGAGGATCCAACCCTGGGATGAGACCAGCATCGTCAGGGCCAGAACCTCCTACTCACAGGGCTTGCTCTCCCCCTGTCCTTAGAGAGCCCCGTGGGCGTCCCACCAAGTCTAGACACGCACATTCTTGATTCTCTGTGCTTCCCCAGGACTGCTAGCACCCGGCTTCCCCACCATGGGCAAGGCGAACCCCTCGGAGCCCAGTCCATCCCGGCTCGGCGCACCAAGGAGCTGTGCCCATAACTTCGAGCAATTCCCATGACCCGGGGTCCAGGCCTGGACCTTAGACATCACGACAGTCACAGCCAAGGCCACACACCAGCCGCATGAGAACACAGACTCCCTATCTGTAAAAGGCCATAATCAGCCTTTATCAAGCACTCAAGGTGGGCCAAGTCTTGTGCTAAGCTTTCTATGCCTGATTCCACTGAAGGCTCCCGGCAACCCTCACGCCACGAGCAGCCCCATCTTACAGATAGGAAAGCTGAGGGTCAATGACTCAAGCAAAGCACATAGAGGGTAAGTGATGGAGACAAGATGGGACCTCAGGTCTCAGGGATGACGATGCCCAGACAACAATGCCTCCATGGGAGGCAGCCTCCACGACAGCCCCAGTGACCCCTATCACCTGGTAGTTGCAGGCTTGAGTAGCCCCTCCCATCCCCACGCATGAGGGTTGGTCTCTGAGACCAACAGAATCCAGTAGATGGGACTATAGGTCACTTCCAAGTCTGTGGTTGGTTATAAAGACTGTAGCTTCAGGGCACCCGGGTGGCTCACGCTCACTCTCTCTCTCTCTCTCTCTCTCTCTCTGCCCCTCCCCTGCTCGCACTCTGTCTTTCTCAAAAATAAATAATAAGGGGCCCCTGGGGGGCTCAGTCGGTTAAGTGCCTGACTCCTGATCTCTGGTCAGGTAATGATCTCACTGTGTGTGAGTTTGAGCCCCACTGCGCTGGCAGTGCAGAGCCTGCTTGGGATTCTCTCTCTCTGCCCCTCCCCTGCTCGTGCTCTGTCTCAAAATAAATAAACATAATAATAATAAATAACTTAAAAAAATTTTTTAAAGATTGCATCTTCCTTGTTGGATATTCTCTCCCTCCCTCTCTCTCTCTGTCTCTCTCTCTCTCTGCCCCTCAGCTACCTCACTCATGAGAACCCACATCAGGAGAAGCCCTCTAGAGAATCCCACATGGAGAATGAACTGAGGCTCCTGCCACTAGCCACTGGAGTGAATTCAGACGGGGCCCTCTAGCCCCAGTCAAGCCTTCAGATGAAGCAGCCCCAGCTGACGCGTTAACTGCAATCCCGTGAGACCCCCCCGAGCCACAGGCACCAGCCAAGCCACTCCCAAATCCTGACCCTCCAGAACTGCAAGGTATAAATGCTTACTGTTTACGCGGCACAGTTTGGGGCCAATTTGTTACACAGCAAGAGGTACCGCGTCTTTGGTCCCGTGTACGCTGGATCCAGGTTATATTAATTCCACCTTGCGTTCTACACGGTAGAGCTCCCTCCTCCCTGCTCAGGGGCACGGCAAAGGGGGAGGGGCAGGTGGGGCCAGGTGCACACTCACGTCCAACCTCCAGCCGGATTTCCGCAGAGGCCTCGCCTATCTCATTGACGGCTCGACAGGTGTAGACGCCAGCATCCCTCTCCCGAGCTGCCGGGATCCGCAGCGTCCCAGAGCCAGAGCCCCCGGGACCCAAAATCATTTCAAGACCCCCTGGACCAAAGGAGAGAGCATCGGTCAGGGGCCCACGGTCACGGGGGGGGAGGCCGGGATGTCAGGCTGCTTGCCGAGTCTTCCTGGCTCTCGGCCCCTGTGACTGCACTAGGCTGGGGGCTGGGAGGGGTGAGGGGGGACGGGTGCTCCCCGAAGCCAGTGTGCCTGTCCTCTAAGGGGGACAGAGTTTCGGTTTTATAGGGCAAACAGAGCTCTGGTGACAGATCTCGGTGACGGTCGTACAGTGATACGAATGTACTTAAAACTACCGAACCACATCCCTAAAAAGGGTTAAGACGTAAAGTTTGTTATTTGTATGTTACAACCATTAAAGACAATTTTTTTAAGTTGGAAAAAGGCTGCGGCCCTGCGGGGGACAGGGGGGCCGTCCCTGAGCTCTTCTGTGGACCAGGAGCGAGACCCAGCCTGTCCCCCTACATACAATGGGCTCAGCACCCACCAACTGCTTGCTTGGGCCTCCCCACCGGGTCCCCACCCTCCACCCCAGGTCCAGACCGACTGAAGTGTGGGTCAGCTCTGGGGGGGCCTAGGGTCGCCCTGGGATGAGCACACACCCCACCCACAGCTGCCTCTCTGAGGCCTTACCCCGGGGGGGCCTCCGGAAGCCCATCCCCGGGGCTCCCTTGTTTCTTCTGCTTGCTCTCTGCATCCCGGCTCCTGCCCCTGACCAGCTCCCCTGATTCTGACCTTCCTTCTACACGTTAATTTCATTTTTTATTTTTATTGTGGTAAAACGTACGTAACAAACAACTATACCATTTTCAGTGTTCTGAGTGTCCGATTCCATGGCGTTAAGTACGTTCATGTCATGGTGTACCTGTCTCCAGAACTTTCTCGTCTTCCCAAACTGCAACTCCGCCCTCAGTAAAGCGTGACTCCCCCATCCCCCCACCCCCCCGTTCATTTTTTTCAAAGGAAAAAGATTTTTAATTGTGGCCAAAAACACACAACAAAATGGAGGCGGGGGGGGCACCTGGGTGGCTCAGTCAGTTAAGCGTCCAACTCTTGATTTCGGCTAAGGTGATGATCTCACGGTTCATGAGTTCAAGCCCCGCAGTGGGCTCTGTGCTGACAGTGCAAAGCCTGCTTGGGATTCTCTCTCTCTCCTTCTTTCTTCCCCTCCCCTGCACTCTCACTCACTCTCTCTCAAAAATAAACTTAAAAATATTCTTTTAGAAACAAAATTTACCATTGTCACTATTTTCAAGAGCACAGTTCTACGGTGCTACCTGTATTTACGTTGCCATACAACTTGAATTCCACTTCTTTTTAAGGCTGAATAATAGTCCATCGAGAAATGCCCTTTTAAAAAGGGGCCCCGGACCTCATCAAGATTAAAAGCTTCTGCACATCCAAGGAAACAACCCAGAAAATTAATAGGCAACCAACGGAATGGGAAAAGATAGTTGCAAATGACATATCAGATAAAGGGTTAATATCCAGAATCTATAAGGAACTCACCAAACTACACGCCCGAAAAACAAACAACCCAGTGAAGAAAT